CAAACACTCAGACATAGGCACACATGAATAGAGTGATATCCTTATTTATGTATCATGCATTCTTTTTCCCCCTCCCATGGTGTTGATTCCCACACCAGTACCTGTGTTTCTGACACAGGATCTGAAGTATTCCCTTGGGATATTTAACAGATTTTCCTTTAAAGGCTCAGTTCAACAGTAGTTATCAAGGTGTTTAAATATACATATATTGTAGAGAAGTGATTTTTTTTTAGGAAGACCCTGAATACCCTGAACAGACTACGTTCAATGTTTTGCTGACCAAAAACTAGGTATTAAAAGGCATACAAAGGTGGGCTAGTGGCAGGACATTTTTTTAGGCAGTAAGATGCATTGGAGAGAGGCTTTGGTTGCATATAAATTGGCTGTGGTATTTTCAGAAATACAGTTATGATTCCATTCATCATGTTTGAGAGCAGAAATGTTATGAAAGATTGGGTTTTCTTGGAAAATGTTTTTATTTTTATGTTATTTTTATATATTTTATTGGCTCATTCTAGTTATACATAATAGTGTGGTTTCTGTTACATGTTCATATATGTACACAATATAACCATATAATTTGGCCAACATCATTCCCCAGTATTATCCCTTTCAAAAATGTTTTTGAAAAGAATTATCAGGCTACAATTCAGTTAAACTTTTCATGATGGTTACAATTGTTATTTCCCTGATGAAACAGAAATAGTTGGTTCCCCTATAATGCAAGTCAGATAAAAACAAACAAAAAAAAAAAAACTACCCCCGACTGAAAGAAATGGGACTAGCTAGAGAATAGTGACTAGTATTTCATCATAATCAGAACACTTTGCCTCTCACCTGCCATTCTTTCGTTTCTCAGAATGGGAAAATAATTTTCTTTGGTTCATTTCGAGAAGGGCTTGGTTATGACTGTGTTTCATCCACTTAGGTATCAGCGACTATCTGGAGGGACTCCTGTCATGTTCAGAGAAAGAGTATGGATCCTAAAGATGATCTATGAGGAAACAAATTCATTATCTATGAGATTTGTGAAGAAAAATAGACATGAGATGATATCTGTGTTATACTTTATAAATGATGGTATTTGTGTACTAATGTCACCATTTCCATACAGCTGTCTACATCCATGGGATAATATGAGTTAATTTTCCTTGAAAGGACATTACATTTTGATGCATTGAAACTATTAGAAATTGACTTGGGGGAAAATTCTAAATTATTTTGAGATTAATATCATATTATTTTGGTATAAATATGGATTTCTTACTGACAATTTTCCAAATATACTGAACATGGGAGAAAAGATTCAAGTAACGTTTAAGTCAGTTTTAATAATTAAAGCTACAGTTACAAAAACAACAGATCTAAAGGTATTTATTTATATTGTATTTAGGAAAGTTGTTCTTCAAGTTATATAACAAATAATCTTGGAAATAAATTTTCTTTTTAAATTTATGGATATCTATGCTTTCCCTGATTTCCTTATTTGCTTTTCTTGAGTGGTCACAAAGTCAAGATTGACTACTCAAGTGTATTAAGGAAAAATTAGTAATGGTACTCATTTTTTTCCTAGCAACTTATGAATATTCAGTATATACTTTCCAAATATTTATAAAAAAACAAATTTCAAGATTAATCTTATTTCCTGGTATTGAAGTATATATGGTTATATGTATTCATATACATATGTGTACATATAGGTATATATGCCCACATACAAGATTTATTATAAATTTATTTCTTTTAATAATATCTGGGAAAACATGTTGTATGGAAACACAAACTACACATTTATAAGCCTGACAAAAGAACGTTGATGGAAATTTTGGTATTCATGAAACATGATTTTAGTATAAACAAGTTTTTTTCCAAAAGGATAATCGTAAGTCTGTTGTTAGCCTTGCCATTATTGGTTTAAGATAAACCATTGGTGCTAAAGAAGGAACTGAGGATGAGATAATACAGTGTTTATATGATGCAAAGGATAGTGCCATTTAAAAAACTCTGTGTACTAACAAAGCAAGAAGAAAATTATTTCACTGCTTGATATTTTTGTGACAGAATTTACCTAATCAGAGACAAAACAGTTGGTATATGAGCTTCAAACGACCTACATTAAGCTTTTTAAAATTGCTTTCCAACATGATCAAGATCTAACATTTTCTTGTTTCTATTTTTATGTGTAATGAACTTAATAATTCTCTCACTTTTAGTATGTTTTTATTATGTCTGTGTGTTATCTATCTACCCAGAAAATCCTAGTGCATACTTTGAGGGAGATTTATATTTTATGTACCTCCTTTTAATTGTATTAAAATATTTTTTAAAAATTCACTCTGAATTATGCCTAATTGCTAGTGTAGTTCAAATACTTATTTCTCAAACAAATGTATTTAAGTTGCCTACTACATTATGCTTTTATGCTTTCTTGGAATTTCCCCTATTTTCTCCAATTCATGATGGATTTCCGAAAAAATCTGTTTCCTGATATTTATGAGGTAGATATTTTGGTTTCATTTCTTCTGGTAATTGTAGTTCCTTTTATACTTTCCAAGTAATAATATTTAACAATTCTTAAAGTCGAGTATTAAATATGATTAACTAAGCCAGGATGCTGATTGTTGATTTCTTTCTAGAAAAATTGAGGTTTCTCAAGAAAAGATCTATGAATAATGAAACTAAGAATGTCTCCGGTAGAATGAGGTTCCTGCTTGAGCACTCTGAACCTTACCAATTGATGAGATTCACCTAATACCCAATGTTCCAATCAGCTTTCTAAAGTATCTTTGGTATGAATTAATAATCAAGGATAATAGATGCTTGCAAATATTTAAAAGAAATTTTTATAAATAAAATACAGAAAAAAAATTAAAAATAAGTAATCAAAATAGGAATTGTGAAAACAGCATATGAAGCAGAAATGCATCATAAGTATGTTTGTATGTGAGATATATATATATATATATATATATATATATATATATATATATATATCTCACATTTATTTGTCAGATTCAAAGGAAATAAGATTTTGGAAGTTTTCTATAAAGCGGATGAAAAAATAGATGCAACATAGGAAAAATTTCTAAAAAGTAAAGAAGGATAAGTGCATAAAATAGTTAATTTGATTAAAAGAAGTTGTAGAAAAATAACAAATAAATAGTGGGAAATTAATTCTTTCAAACTTAAAACTATTTTTAAAACCAAAGGTCATAGATTTTTAGACTAAAAAACTGCAGCATGTACAGGGACTTGGGTTGTGGCTCAGTGGTAGAGCGCTCGCCTAGCACATGCAGGGCGCTGGGTTCAATCCTCAGTACCACATAAAAATAAATAAATAAATAAAGTAAAGGTATTATGTCCAACTACAACTCAAAAAAAAAAGGCTGCATATACTAATGTAGGTCCATTATCCCTATAAATATCATTATATTCACGAGCATAGAAGTGTTCAAATATTCTCAAATACATGTCAGGGAAATAAAGAAAAGAAATGGATGAATAATTCATACACAGAAAATCAAATTTCAGAATTGTTCTTTTAATATCGACACTGACATCTAGGAGATTGATAGACCAATGTTTGCAAAATATTGAGGTAAAAGAACATAGAACCTCAAATTCTAAAACCATCGAAATCATTTATAGAATAAGCCATATACAAACATTAATATTCTCTTTCAGAAAATATTTTCCATACCCTCATGAAAATATATAAAGAAGAAAAATCAAATCCACACATAGTAATGTCAAATATGTGGTAGATTAAAGGGAATTTCTGGTTCAGAATTATGTAGCAAACCTAGGGAACAACTATATATCATAGAAAGTAGAAAGTTCCCCAAAATGTACTGATGATATGGAAAGGTCCAGAAACATAACTCTCAGGAGCATAATATTAAAAATATTTTATTATTCTCTTAATCTGTTCAAAAATCTTCAGATGTCTATAACAAATCCTAAACAAAATAAAACAATGAATAAACAATATAGAATGGCAAACAAAATACATGTGTCTTATCCAGATACTTAGCAAGCAGTTAATACTTATATTATGATAAAATATAAATCTTAAATAATAATTTTAAAAAATAATTTCACAGAATAAAGGAATGATAGACAGAATGGATGTGTTGTGTAGGAATGCAAAGGGCAGATCAAGTATAGAGCTGAAACAGGTGAGAGGGAATGCCTGAGAGGATGCGAACTTCCACAGACAGATAGTGGAGCTGGTTGTTTGTATTGTTATGATTCTCTTTAAAGTACAAATTAATTACAAAAAATAAATACATATTCTGTGGCAAGAGGTAGAATAATAATTTCAAAAACAAAAGGCCAGAGAGGTGTTAAGTTTTGTACTGGTACTCGAGGAAACCAAATCTATATAGTGCTTCTACTTAATTATAAAATTATTGCTCAGATTTTAGTGAGAATTAAAATGACTTAGTATAAATAAAATTCTTAGTAGGGTATCTGCTATATAGTAGTAATAAATATGACCAATTAATTAAAACTAAGAACAACAGTAAATGCATCCCCAGAATATCTGTTATGTCACTTGTGAGATGATCAATGATTTTCCCCTTAAGAAAGTACCCAAATGGTGGCATGTAGAGTTATGAACACTTATATAGGCATAACAAAAATACTATCAGAATGCTCATATTACAATTAACCATAATTTATGAATATTGTATCTGTGTCCTTTTTGTCTTGAAACAATAGCAACAGAACCTGGTGAATAGCAGATGATAAATATGTATATGTTGAATGCAATGATAAGTTAATGAATTAACAAATGACACATGTGTAATTGAGACTTTATTTAAGTAAATATTACCTGTCATTGTAAGTTTGGTTATTTGATATTGAAGTGCACTATTTAATAAGTAAAAGTCAGAGACAACACTACTAAGATGTTTTTATTTTTCTACTTTTCCTAATCTTGAAAGGTTAAAAACTAAAACAACACAAGCCTCCAGAAGACTACCAACCTAATCATGCCATTGCTGAATCAAACAGATCTGACCCCAGCTTCATTCATTCTCAATGGGATCCCAGGCCTGGAGGACAGGCACATCTGGATTTCCTTCCCATTCTGTTCCATGTATGTTGTGGCTGTGGTTGGGAATTGTGGACTCCTCTACCTCATCTGCTATGATGACTCTCTGCACAGGTCCATGTACTACTTCTTGGCTATGCTTTCTCTAACTGACCTTGTCATGTGCTCAAGCACAATCCCTAAAGCCCTCTGCATCTTCTGGTTTCACCTCAAGGAAATTGGATTTGATGAATGCCTGGTCCAGATGTTCTTCATCCATACCTTCACAGGAATGGAGTCTGGGGTGCTCATGCTTATGGCCCTGGACCGCTATGTGGCCATCTGCTACCCTCTGCGCTACTCAGCCATCCTCACCAATGCTGTCGTTGCAAAGGCCAGGCTTGCTACTTTCTTGAGAGCAGTGCTGCTCATCATTCCCTTGATTTTCATCACCAAGCAATTACCCTATTGCAGAGGCAACATGATACACCATACTTACTGTGATCAGCTATCTGTAGCCAAGCTATCCTGTGGAAATATCAAGGCCAATATTATCTATGGTCTGATGGTTGCCTTCTTGATTGGGGGCTTTGACATCTTGTGCATCACAGTCTCCTACACCATGATCCTCCAGGCGGTGGTCAGCCTCTCCTCAGCAGATGCTCGGCAAAAGGCCTTTAGCACCTGCACCGCCCACATCTGTGCCATTGTTTTTTCCTACAGTCCTGCCTTCTTCTGTTTCTTTTTTAACCGTTTTGGAGGCCACACAATCCCTCCATCTTGCCACATTATTGTGGCCAATATTTATCTGCTTTTGCCTCCCACCATGAACCCTATTGTCTATGGGGTAAAAACAAAGCAGATACGAGACTGTGTCATGAAGATCCTTTCAGGTTCTAAGGAGATCAAATCCCAGAGTGTATGAAAGACACATTTCTCAGGAAAAGGGAGGAGGATCCAGGACAAGGGAATAGGAAAAATGAGACATTTTTTTCTACTTATTTAGTCAGAGGCTAGTGATGCCTTCCAAAGAGTCCCATATTGTCCATGACAAGAGGGCATTGAATGGTACATTCCTAATAAATAATCTATAAAAAAACATGAGGGGAATTGGAGTCAATTTTCAGTAGAAGTGTCCACAATATGGAGATCATGAGACCATATGCTAATTCATCTTGTTTTCAGAATAGTGATCAGAATGTCCAGTTTGAAGGGCAGTTGTGACTTTCCCCTGGAAAATGCATGCTGTCATTACCAAAATTCCTCTACTGTCACAATGCTGTCTTCCTAATGGATAAGCCATGAAACATACATGAGGACTTTAGTGTGAAATTTCACTTTTTGGAGTTTTAATTTGTAAATATGTCAGCTGACCACATTTCTTCCAACTTGATCCAAACAATACACTTCCCACAGACTAAAGAGATACATAGTTCTTTCCAAGATCACCTTCAAAATCAAATACACTAGAGAGATAGAGAAGTCCTTTACTTACATTAAGAAGAATAAAAATAAATATTATCTTAAGAACATAGTATAAGGGAGGTACAAAAATACTTACCTTGCCTTCTTCATATTTGAGAAGGAAACTCATGAAATAAGCTACATTCTCTAATTTTTAAGATTTTACTAATTAATAATTAGAGGACAGATTTAAAAAATAGTGCTTTGATGTGATTCTACATCATGTACAACCAAAAGAATGAGAAGTTGTACTCCATTTATGTATGATGTGTCAAAATGCATTCTACTGTCATGCATATCTAATTAGAACAAATAAAAAATAGTGTTTGATATTAATGTCACCAAAGTGATACCAATTAAATAGGAATACATAATAAAGTCAATGATTTAATCTCTCTCCATTCAACAAATAAGAATGCAAATTTATTCACCTGAATCAATTTACATGTACTCATGAATTTCTATTTAATGATGGTATTTCTTTCTGTTATTCTTATTTAAAAATCCTACAAAACATCCATGCTACTACTCAAAATACAATCACCCCTTTAACTACTTAATTGAAGGAAAGCTTCTGTTAAAAGAAAAAAAAGTTAACATTCACTTTCTTCATTTTCTCCACCAAAATCACTCTTCCTGAACTTGCCATTTCTCCCAGTTATCTTGAATTGCTTTTGTCAATTTAACCTGTGCCTTTCATGTTAAATTGCATAGATAGTTCTCTGTTCTCATCTAACAGAGCCTCTCAGAAACTCTATCAAAAAAAGAAAAACAAAAACAGAAAAAAACACTATTATTTATTTATTTCTTCTGCCTTGAAACACTACTTCAGAAACACTGATCAATTCATTTTTTTTTACTTCATAAACACTAATCATTTCATATTTTCCTTGCTGAAGACATATCACAAGCACCAGAGTTATATGATGACATTGGATATCTTTGCCTTGCTTTTGAAGCAGACGGGAATAATTTTAAATAGTCTCAGTTGAGTGTCATGCATACTGGGTTTTGTACATATACTTTCTTAAGCTAACAAGACTTGGTTCAACTGAGTGTTTTTCTTATAAATCAGTATAGAACTCTATAAAATCATTTTTTCTATGCTTTATGTGCATATAAGATAATTATAAGATTCTTAGTTTAATTTTAATATAGTAAAAATGTTTAAAAGTGAACTTTGCCTGGTAAATCATGCATTATCATTGTGGTGAACATGCTGTGATCATAATCTTATTTCAAAACATCACTATTGATAACTAATATTTCAATTATATTTTTATAAAATCATGAAGAAACTATGTGCATAATTTTGTTTATACTGTCTGTAATGAAATTGCTTTTGAAATTAATGTTAAATACTTTGCAAATGAATTGAACATCTTTTCCTATTTTACCAAGTTCTGGTGATACTTTACATAATCCAAGAATAATCAATCTTGAAGTGTACTCATCAAAATAGAGAAACAATATGGCTCTGTTTGTTTTTTTACAGCATATTTACTTATTAGAAGAAAAACAGTGAGCTATATTGGTTTGGATGAAATATTAACTTTCTTAGTAAATTTGCTCTATTTGTATTTGTATTTCTTGTGTTACTTTTTATTGTCAATTTTGTTAGGAGCTATTGTTTGTGATTTGATTGGCACTCTATATTGAACTCATGTAGTTTATTTGTTGCAGGGTGATTTTACTTGGGAGGCAGCTCAAATGTGACTTATGCTATGAATTTTCCTTATTTCCCAGAGATGTATATATATTAATAATATTTTTACATGTAAGCTTTCTTTCCACTAATTTTATCTATTCTTATGCTTTACCTCTGTCTTTGTTGTATTAATTCCTGCCCTTGTTATTTTTAATTAACACATATTAATTGTAAAAATAAATGGTATTCATTGTGGCATTCCCATACATGCATATATGAAGCTTTGTGCAGTTCTATCCTCTACTACACCCTGATTCCTATGGAAATTATCCCTTTCTTTTCTTTCAAGATCGAATTTTTTGTTGTTTCCATATGTGAGCAAAAACACAATATCTGCCTTTCTGTATCTGGTATAGTTTGCTTAACATGATATCTGCCAGTTCCATTCATTTCCTGCAGATGAAAGAATTTCATAACACATTACATCTGAATGATACTCTGTTCTGTATTTTTGTGTTCTATCCATTAATCTGTTGACAGTCTCATAGAAGAATTAAATTATGCCATTTGCTCCTGCAAAAGAGATCATCATGTTGAGCAACATAAATCAGAAAGACATATATTACATATTTTCTCTCATTTGATAAAACTAAAAAAATGGGGAGAAGTATATCATGAATATGAATGTGGCACTATTAGTGTAAAGGAAGGAAATCAGGGTAGAGAAACAAGAAGACAAAACAGAGGTAATAGGGAGTGAATATAACCATGTTACAAGCATGTACAATACATGACACAATGAAACAAACTATACTGTATAAGAAAAATTTGAAGTAAATTTTGATGACAGAGTTCCATGTGATATTTAGCACATGTTTTGGAAAGAGCATAAGTAACTCAGTGACAACATCAAAACCCAAAGTAAATGAATAAAGGAATATATGAATCACCAATATGAATGACTGAATCATTTTGTACTTAAATACTTTCTATCTGTATATCACAAGGCCTTAAATACAAAGAAATGTCTCAAAAATACTATTGAAATCATGATTTTTATTAAAAATAACATGATCATTCTCACTCCCTTCAGTATTCATATGCTCACTTGCAAACATGCACATAGGTACACGCAAATGAAATTATTTCACTTTTTTATGTATTATCACATAGGCCATAGAAAGCTCCTGAATTCTTTATTCCGCTTCCCTAAAAGTAATGTTGTTTCCACACCAACTCTGATATATCCTTCAGGGTATATAAGATACACTTTCCTTTAAAGATTTAGTTTAATTCTACAGATATCAAAGGATTTAGACAGTGATTACTAGGCATATATATATGGTAGAATTCTATATTGTTTGAATAAGACCCAGAACAGCTAAATAAGATTGTTTCCATCTCCCTGTTTTGTCATTCAAAAGTGAGGTGTTAAAGGACATGCAAAGGGGGTACTACTTACAAAGTATTTTTTGTTGATATTAGTAGATACATTGGTGAGAGCTGCTTTGAATATATCCTAACTGGTAACTATAACCTCAGAAATACAGTTTGATTCCACCCACCTAGTTTAAAAACAGACAACATTGAGAAGATTGCTTTTGTCTTTGAAAATGTTTACTTTTTACAATTCTTAGATTTCTATTCAGTGCCACTTTTCATAATGAGTATGAATATTTGTTTTCCCTAGACAAATTGACACTATTGGAAATGGTGGAAATCAGGTATAAATTGAAATGGAAAAGAACCAAATTAATGCCATTTTATTCTGACCTGACTCCATTTTATGGTTACTTAACAGGTTTTCTTTTCAGCCTCCTGACATCTGGATCTCTGTGGACAGTACAGTAGGACCTTACTGCATCCCTGACTATAGCCCTTATGTATAACAAAGATGACTCTGAAATGTGTCATCAAACAATTTTCTCATGTAATCAAAATATCTGTCTCAACAGAGTCTTTCTGACCTTTATGTGCTAATGGTTCTTGTGATTTTTGCCTTTATGAACTCTATACCTCCAACATTCAGTTGCTGGGAGTTCTTTGAGGTGGTAGCCTACCATACTCATTAAAGGACTTTTCTCCACTTTCTATTTGGCTCAATATGTGTGGTAGTTTGTAATTCTCATGCACTCTGTAACAGAATCACCCATGACAAGAAGAAAGAGCTAGAGAAGTGTTGTTAATCACGGCCAGTACCCTATTGTTTCTACCTGTCCTTCCTTGTTCCTCCAGAGAAGAATCTAATTAAACTGCTCTTCTCAACATAGACTTAGACATGACTATGTTTCACTCATCTTAGCAGAAGTGACTGGAATGACCCCACAGTCACGTGGACAGAAGAACTTGGGTTGAAAAAATTGAGTATGATCAACTGAGGAAATAAACTTACCATTTATGTGTTTTGAAGTGAGAATAAACACTGGATGCTTTCAAAATAATATTTTGTAAGCAGTGAGGCTCTTATTCAGAGTTATTACTTCAGTTGACCTTACACAGAATAATGTGTGCCCATTTTCCCTGAAGAAATGTAAAGACATATGGTATTAAAAGCATTTTAGATGCATTGTAAAATGTCTAATTTAATTGGTTCTTAGTTCTATATATTACTTGGTATCAGTTAGAATTTTAACCCAGAGACTTACAAATACAATGAACATGAGACATAGACTTTTGTTACAATAAAACCAATATTACCAATTAAAATTATAACTATGAAGGTGTGATGAGAGACATAGATAGGATATTTAGAGAGAGTTTGGGAATATAAACTCTTGAGAATACAACAAATGGCACCTCAGCTATATATAATC